TTATTGAAGATAGTTCAACAAGACACATTCTCTAAAGAAGAACAGTTGAAGGGACATTTTACTTTCAGAGATGAAGAAGGGATTATAAGATTGAAAATGAAGATTTTGAGAAGACATGACGATGAAAATTTCCGGTGCCCCATTATACTTCCATCCAAACATGAATTAGTAGAAAGAATGATACAAGACTACCATTTACAACTTTTACATGCCGGTACTCAAGTTCTTTTGACTAATATTCGTCAAAAATTTTGGATAATAAGAGGAAGAAAAACAATACAAAGAGTCATATCGAAGCGCGTTTGGTGCAAGAGACACTCGAAGAAAGCTCTGGATACAGTGCCTTGTCCTCTCCCAGAAGATCGAGTCAGAGATGCTTATGCATTTAAGGTCACAGGTGTTGATGAAGCAGGACTACTTTATTTAAAAGAAAATAGAAAAGCTTGGATCTTGCTTTTTATCTGTGGAGTTTATCATGTAGTTCATTTAGAATTAATTGAAAGCTTATCAACTAATGGATTCTTCCTCATATTTCGAAGATTCATAGCATGAAGAGGATGGCCTAGAGTAGTATACAGCAACAATGGCACAAATTTTGTAGGGGCAAGGAATTACTCCAATCTATTGACTGGAACCAAACAATGAAAGTTTAATGGAAGTTAAATCCACCAACCACAGCATGGTGGGGCAGCTGGTGGGAGAGACTGGTTCAGATGATCAAGAAATTATTGAGAAGAGTCCTGGGAAAAGCATTACTTTCATATGAAAAAATGTTAACTATTTTACGTAATGCAGAAGCAAATATCCACTCCAGACCATTAACATACGAGTCAGAAGATTCCACTGATTTATGTGCACTCACTCCATCTATGTTTATTCAGGATGTGCAAACTGTAGATGTTCCGGATCTGGACAGTTTGGATAAAATCAACTTATAAAAAAGATGGCGGTACCACCAAAAATTACATGTAGAATTTCGCAAAAGATTTAGATATGAATATCTTGGACTGTTAGTACATCGACCAAAGATCGTACCTTCACAAACCATCAAGAGAGGGGATTTAGTGTTTGTAGAGGACGACAGAAGGAAAAGAACAGACTGGCCTATAGGTCGCATTGTAGAAACGTATCCTGGGAAGGGCAATGAAGTACGTGTTGTCAAAGTGAAAACTGCTATGGGTGAACTATTATGACCTGTGAAATGTATTTATCCTCTACAACTTGATAGACCTAACTTGTCTAGTGACTTGACCATAAACAGAAAAAACTCTGTCGGTGAATGTGACAGTGATATGAACTATCAAACTAAATATGGACGTAAAACTGTAAAACCTGTTACGTATTTTTAAATTGTTATATTAAATTTTGTTTCTTTTCAGTATCATAGAAGTTTAATTGTCCTAGTTAAAGTAAATTGAAACATGTTATCTGGATATGGTAAGGAAATGTTTAGATGTGTAATAGTCCTTTGTAAGTATCAATTTTTAGAGCATTAGTTAATTTTCATATTGGTGAACTTTTGTTTAATTATTGATAAATTTTGTTTTGATTTTCCCATGTAAAATCAAAAGGTGGGACGACGTTCCATTCTTGCCACTAGATGGCAAGCATTCTTCTTTTCTTTTTTCCTAATTGAGACCTGGGAACGAGATTAGATTTGAACCGCTCACTGGAGCGTTAAGACAAACTTCGATTTCGAAACTTATGACGTTAACAACTAAAATGTACTGTTATTGAAATAATCATCATTTACCATGTAAATACTGTAAAATATAAAGATGTGTGAAAATAAACAGTCATTAAAACTACATTGAGGTTATGATTGAATCGAATACACTGCCGAAATAGCTCTCCCAAACAGCACTTTGGATTAGAAATAGCACTCGCATTACTTACATATCACTGAGATGATACAACTGAAAATTCAAAATTACTATGCGCACTTCAAAAAAACATAACCGTTCAAAATCAGCTTCTATGAATACATATCCTTTCACTGCCACACAGAGAGAACATATTTAAAATCAATTCAATGGGTTGCATTTACACGTGCAACAATATTTTTCTATCTGACCTAAACAATCAATGAAGCCTTAAGTCATATTTTCTTGGAGTGATATGCTGCTAACACTGATTTTCTTTTTTTGGCATAACAGTTAACAAAAGCTGTAATATGATTTTAAATCCAGAAAATACCACTACTGATGGTAAAGAAAATGACAAAGAGGTTGCAGAGAATAAAAAATTCCGAATAACAGTTTATAATGAGAATTCTCAATATGGCAATTAGACGACTTGAACAACGGAACTTATTAAGACATAGTAATTGAACAAGAAACTATGTCTGTCTACAAAAATATAAAAAAGTAGCACACACAAAAAAAGGAAAACTTAAAAAAACTTACACTAAAAGAAATATTTAGTAAAAATATAAATATTAGCTTTTTTTTTTTTTTTTTGGAAATTTTTTATTCTCTTTGAGTCATAAATGTTTCATTATTCATCCAAAATCACCAAAGACACAACAATTCCGGATTTCGAACTTTGTACTGTATTTCCTTAACATAATTCAAAATCAGTTTGTTATTAGTTATACAGGAATATATAAAAAGAAATACATGAAAAATTTTCCAACTTTTTTGCTTATACAAAACTTTGTTTAAAACATTTTATAAAACATTATTTTTATTTAAATTGCAATAGATTGTAACACCAGTTTAGTACATTATACATAAAGTATGTACATTGCACAAAAAAAAAGGGGGTGACATTTCTATTTCTCCCATTCTACTTGGCCGACTGGTGAAATTCAACTTGCCTTTTTCATGTCTTGAAAGCGTGACTTAGGATATGTAAGATTTATATACAGCATTGCATACATATTTTGACACAAAATTGGACTTTTTCTGAAGTGACATGCCAATTTTTTTCGATATTTTGATTCTACAACTCAAATCATGTCTAAACACTGAATTTTGTAAAATTTGGAGCGAAATTTAAGTAGAAATTCAAAAATTTATTTCGGCATTCCCCCCCCCCCAGTTTGCGCCAAGAATAATTCACTTGGTGAACTTCTTAATGTCAACCTATTTTTCTTTTTCTTTTTACATTGTGCACGAGAGGAAAAAAAACATCACTTCGTTCCTAGTTTCAAATAATTTCACCAAAGTTCCTAAAGACATTTGGTGTTATTATTACAGCGAGACACTTAAGGAGAGACAGTCTTTTAGTAAATCAATGAGATATATATTCAAGTGATGCTTCCAGTTCAGATTGCTAAGCAAAACTCCAAGATAAGTGAACTTGTCAGATGTATTTAAACGATGATTTTAAGAAGTAAATAACAGGTTCAGATTCTCTATATGCAACAGAGAAGACCTGGACAGCAGCTTCATCAAGATTAACAATCATGTTATTAATGTTACATAAATTTTTTATTATTCTAAGAGCAGCACCAAGTCTTCTCAATTACAATCTTTGCACTCTTCTTTTGCAACTATAGCCAAAATACCAGAACAACCACAAATAAGAGACAACGAATTAACCAAATTCAGAACAACAATTAAATCATTTATATATATGTCGAAAAGGATGCCGCTTAGTACAAATCCCTTAGGGAGACCAATCTGCAGGAGAAAATTCCTAGATACTTTATTTCCAATATGGACTCTACAGAAACGTTAACCAATAAAAGAGCGAATTCAATTTAATAGCTTGTTTCCACTACCAAGATCAATAAACTTAAGAAATAACTTCTCCTTTTCCAACCTATCATATAATGGTTTAAAATCAACATAAACAGCAATCAAGACATTTCGGTCATAGAGAGTATCCTTCATGACTTAAGCAAAATGGGCAACCTGTAAATCTGTCAATCGACCTCTATGAAATGCAGCCTGTTTGTATCTTAGTAAATAAAAATGCTCCAGATACCAATTCAGCCCATTATTCACTTTGTAATAATTAATTACATATGAGTTAGTTACCTACAAAGCAGGACTGTGTGCAAAATCTGCTTAACTTGACCATATAGAAGAAACTACTTAAAGAAGAGTTTTCTAAACCAATATCACCACCGTTTAAGTTCAGCATTTCACACAGTGGTGCTGGAAACCATTATGCATATAAAGAGAGATTCTGTATAAAGATGCTGCAATTTTGTTTTACTCCGCTTAATAACTATCAGACTAGCAATGTACTACTATCTTTATGAATAGTGTTTTCACTTTTATGAAGACTGCTGCTTTCAAGCCGAAAATTGGCCTTCATAAAGCCTACTGACACCTTTATGTCTGAACATTGTTATGAATATGTGTAACAAATACAGTAAAATATAACTGAGACTAGAACCTTTATGACTTAGAAGAGGAGATTCTGCTTCCTAATTTTTATATTTTCTCACCGAGTCCCAGCAGCTTTTCATTCCTTGTATACTGATTGCTTACAAACTTGTTGGTTTTCACTCATAGGTTTCCTTCTCATTAATAGCAGCTGTATTTTCTCCCTTAATTTATGTTGCTCAGTTTACATCTGTCTAAACTTCTGACTAATTATTTAGGAAATAACAAACAAAGTCAAGATTTGTTGTCACTTTAAGGATAGCAATAAATTCACTCAATATTTATAGTCACCTACTGTTGCCGAAAGGAATCATATTCACGGGCAACTATGATTCCATTTTGATGATCAAAATTTTCAAAGAACATAGTAATTCTGATTATTAAGAGCTATATTTATCACTAAATCTTCACACACAATATATTACATAAAATTTTCTTTGAAAGAGCATAACACAAAAATTATAAATAGTTACATTACTTATAAGAAAGCAAATAACATATAATCTAGATCACTGACTTCAAAATTATGGACACTATAATTTTGAAAACTTGACAACAATTACTCAAATTTAAAAAATTTTCAGAAATTCTGATTTTCCATGTTTAAATTTAAATAAACAAAAAAGAAAAAATAATATAACAAAATACATTTTCACTTACAGCTCCATCTTCATCTTCAGGTATTAGAGCTACAGTTGTTTCAGAGTCACTGGAAGCACCTTCCCATGGTTCTAACTCTCTCTCGATGATTTGACCATTATACTTACTTATGGCAGTATCGGTAAAATTATCTGAAATTAGATTAGAATAACATTGCATTTTAATAAACTAAAAATTTTTATGCACTTCTCTATGATTTGAATGAAATATTAGATATGGAAATTAAATCTCCGAATAAAATAAAGGAGAAAAAAGACATGGTGAAACACTATGCTCTTTTACATTTACTCAAAAAATATAAATAAATTTTTACTTCCATAATTTACATATATGTAATAATATTCACATAATTCAGATTTTGCAATAGAATTCTAAAATGTCTACCAAAAAATAAACTGATAAAAAGCCATACAAGAATCATTAACACATCTGTACCAGTGCAGATATATAAAGTTCATCAGAAACCACCTAAATTTAAGGAAAGAACTTCATAAATGGTGACTTCCAGCATAACAGATTCTGGCTGTGTTGAAATTTCTGCATTATACTTCAGGCATATCATTATCTCTGTATTCAGAAGCATCTGCAAGAGGGATATATTCTCATTCACCCAAGAAATAAAATGCACTCATATACTCACTCATCTGATAAACTGTCTTCTAAATAATTCATAAGTCGTTTAGAACAAGAAAGTCTTGGTAAATGATCATTTATATTATCCATATTATAAGAATTCTGAAAATATTTATTAAAAAAGTCAAATTTATTATATTTACTACCCTGTCTATACAGCCATACACATGCAAAACACAATTCTGACTAACATGAAAACAAAGTCCTAACATAACCTCATCATGGGCTGACACATTACTGGCTATTAGATGATGTCAGAGATCATGTCAGTAGCCGAAAATATTAATAATATCCAAGGATAGCCCTCCTTTAAAAAAAACTAACCAACAAAAGAAAAATATAAAATATTTTAACTACACAGGAGTCCTCCCATGTTAACGTATCAACCTAATTTAATTTCAGTCATTAACAAAGGTAGCATATTAAATCAAATTTGTCATGAAAAAGTCTTTACTGCATAAAAAAACTGTAATTATCATGTAATTTATTTTGGTTGCATCAGATAAATACAGTTTTACTGCAAATCAAATGCAGCATTATATGAATTTAGTTAATTAAGCTTCTGATGGATAAAACTGCTTATATCTGATCACAAAGTTTCTCCTTATAAGCTTAATATATTTTACATAAAAAATTTAGAAAAGCTAACTTATATTTGTATTATGCATATTAAAAAAAATTCTATCCAAGTTTCAATTTTAGTCCCTATTTGGCTAACAGAATTAATAACAAAATAAACAGTATGCACTATATGCAGTCATGTCAGGAACTTCATAAAAATAAATTACATGAAAATTTTGAAACAAACATTTTTAACAAGCTTTATATTCAAAACTTCTATTCATAAATCTCCAGAGCTCACAACTTGATAGTTATAATAGTTACAATTCAAAATTCACTGAACTAATGTAAGAATTCGAAAGGAATTTTAGTAACAAATTTCAAATTTAGCACTTTAATTCTGGTAATTTTGAGCTCAAAACATAAGGCAAATGCAATAATCATAAATTATCCAATCTTGAGGACTTCTCCTAACGATAAGAAGGTTATCACAGGAGACTTTCTAAGAGAAAGTTTTATATTTATGTTACATATACAAAAATAATAAAAACTCCATGTACTCATCAGATTCAACTACTGAGAAAGGACAAATGACCAGTGTCTTGAGCCTTTAGGCTATCAAACAGCCACCTAGTAACTAAGGACTTGTCTAGTTCGAAACTTATCCGATCAATTTTGAAACAGTTGCCAAGCAGTACGATTCACAGCCCATTATATCTAACTGTGATGCAAAACTCATAGTATCTGCACTTTCATTTGACACAACATAAAAACTATTCAACTTAGGACCCATCTTCTGGAGAACAGGAAGCAGTGAATTATTTTCAAAGTTATGGGATCTTACCATCAAAAGCTGTGTATTAATGGGCATGCTTTGGTCTCTTGAATATGGCCAACAAAACAATAATAGAATGGCACAATCACTTGCAGGAAGCTTTTGTTCCTTTTGTTCATGACATTCTAAACATAGATTCTGTTAAAACCAGAATGGCCTAACAAAATGGTAGAAATTAACAAAAAGCCTTTTTATAAAGCAAAAAATGAAGCAGGTCAAATACTGGCATTCTAAAGATAGCTTCTGTTAAAATCAGAATGCCTAACAAAATAGTAGAAATTAACAAAAGCCTTTTTATGAAACACAAAAGTGAAGCAGGTCAAATACTGGCATTTTAAACATAGCTTCCATTAAAATCAGTGCCTAACAAAATACAGTCAAAAGTCGTTAATTTGGACGCCCATAATCCAGAATGATCTATAATCCGGACCTCAAAGCTACAAACTTTCTGTGCATGCGTCACGTTGACGCATATACGTAAGACCTTTACCGCTGTGCATAATACGTTTACGCATGCTCGTTTAATGTATAACGGACCGTATAAGCTAAAATTATCTAATTATCTATTTCAGTTAATGTTGCAGATTGTGTTGTTCCTTAATCTTCGAATTGGATCCAGCTTATTATTTTTTGCAAACTGTTAGAGCAATTTTATAAAAGTAAGATTGAACTTTCGTTTATGTCAAATAGAATTTCCGATGCTGGACCTGCCAAAGCGAAAGTATGTTTCGATGTCCATCAAACAAAAAGTGGAATTGCTGCAAAAAATGGATAAAGACATATGTTTCTCTAACCATTCCGAAATCTGTTTATCCATTTCACGCTGCTCTTCTGCGGGGGGGGGGGGGAGGGGGAATTAGAATTTCCAATATATATTTACTAACATGTAAAGGATCTACAAAGTGAAAGTATGTTTCGAAGTGCATTAAACAAAAAGTGGAATTGCTGGAAAAAATGGATAAAAGCATATCCTTTGTTTATCTAAACTTTAACGTTTGTTTATCTAAACTTTGTTTATCTTTAATGCTGCGGCGCGCAATGAATTGGAAGTTGCTTCCAATTCATTCTTATCAACTATTCTTATCTTCAGGGCAGATGTTTTTATTTTATTTGGCTTATAATTCCTTACTAAATGTAGTATTTCATCTCAATGTACTCCGTCTTTGATATGATTTAAATCAAATTCCTCGTCATTATAATTTGCTTCCGATAGTGAAGAAAGTAACACAGAGGTTATTGTAAACGAAAAAATTTCGATTGACATTTGTCGGTATTCTCGACACCCAATTATTACTTGAACAGTGGATCTTGTAAGAAAAGAAATTCTGTCTGTTTATAGAATTAAGAGAAAGTACTATAACATAAAACGAAGCAACTTAAACAACTACATTGAAAGAATGTTTAATAAAATAAAACATAAATAGTAGCTTTTTTTTTTTTTGGTAATTTTGATACCCTTTAGATATAATTGTCTTTATTTATAAATTCGGTTCAAATTTTTAATTTTATATTTCTGCATGCCATCTTACGAGATTTAAACTGATGATATGGAAAAATTGATAATCCGGAATCGCCGAAGTCCCGATGAGTCCTTATTAACGACTTTTGACTGTAGTAGAAACTGACAAGTCCTTTCATGAAGAGTCCTTTCATGAAGAGCAAAAATGAAGTACGTCAAAACCTTCTAAAACCGGGCCAAAATTCTCATAATATAGCTTTCAGACCGGCGCGATCCGAAACAGTTTTGTCCCCTCTTTGACATTTTCCTAATGAGAAAAGTCAGTTCCCCTCCATGGATGAAGTAAAATTTACATGTTTATCGGACGCTTACGTCCCATAGTAGAGGGGTTGCTAGATTTGCAATTTTTATGAAGTTCTAAATAAATAGTGCATAAATAAATATGCAGTACTGGATGCATATCAGTGCACAATTTATTTAGAACAAATGTATGCAATGTTATATTTACTCACTATTTCTAATCAATCTCATAAATAATTTGTGAATTTTTTAAACTTTGTTTTCACTCTTCATTCATATTAGCGTATTTCGTATTAGAAATTAGGAAAGCGAGAACAAAATTTAACAAATAAGTAAATACGAACTAGATTTGTAAGTTGCAGGCTGGAATGCGATTTAATAAATATTTATTAATAAAATAATGGTAATGACTAATTTTAATGAAATAATAATAATAATAATATTTATTACCATTAGATATTAGAATGAGATTCAATACAATTAGATTTGAGATGACTAACAGCAATAATAAAACTTTACTAACAAAACAGAGATTTAATCTGCTTTTTTCGATAATTTTGTTATTACAATATAAAAATCAAAGATACATTGGTTGTGTTTCATCATTTAACTTTAACAAATATTACATTAGATTATCAGGCAAAGGAGGCATATCTTTAAAGAAAATTTTTCTTTCTAAAATTGGCTTTTGTTTATGTTAGCAGGGGGAAAAAAAATCTGCGACCTATACATGCAGTCATCAAAATTATTTTTCAGAACAGTTTTAAATGTTTATTAAGAATTATACTTCAATTTCCTTTCATAGGCAGAAATTTCGTCTAAAACCATCGTTATATCCAAAGTTTGAAGTCTATTTGATTTTCAATGAATATTCTGTTTGCACATAATATATTTTTTTAGAAGAGTATCTTCACGTTTTCAAAAGAATAAGGACATAATGGGTGTTGACACATGTAGTAAATCTGTTTTCATATTCTTCAGAATGAAGAAACGATTACCCGGAATATTTTCAAAGCAAAATTAAGAAAACCGTTACACCAAATTTGCATAAAGTTTCTTCTCGTGTATTTTTTTATTTAAAGTTGGAATTTTCTCTTTGAAAATATCAAAATCATGAACAGCAAAATTAATTCATGAGAAATAACTTTTAATGCAATAATTCCATCGAATATGAAATAGTGGAGGAAAAGTGCAATAAGTTTATTTATTCACAAATAACCCCCTCATATGCATAATTATGTACGTCGATTGAGAATATAGGTTAGTAAATTAACCAGTTATTCAATATTTTTCTTTATCATATTTTACGGGCTCTTCAGTAGAGCGGTAAAGGTCGCTGAACACTTGTAGCTCGATTGGTTGAATCCCGGCTAAATAGTGGACACGGTTTTTGTGTAACGTAATGCAAGCCAGCTCTCTTAGAAAGTCTCCGCAAAGGCATACCCCCTTATAAAGGTAATTGTTGTGTGCTTTGATGTATTCAGTAAGCGACAAAAATTAATCCAATCAATACCGAGAACGGGTTGATTACATGTGGAGTTTTCCACCAGGACGTAAATGCGAGCAATTTTCTCTTAAAAAGGTTTACACGAAAGCATCCATCCCCTAAGCAGATAGCGTTCGTGCTTTTCCGTAATCCAATCTAATTCATACATTTATAGTAAGTTGACATACACCTTATTACAGACAAAATAACAACCTTTTTCAAAGATATTTTTTATCAACTTGTTGAATTCCCTTTATCTCTTGAGGAGTATAAGAATTCAGCAACTAAAACTAGCGAAATTTTATAAACGTAACTGATGTTTTGATTCAATTTAGAAGTAACGTGAGCTTACTGATATTAATACTTTTTGGCAGATCTCATCTAAAAGGGGTCTCTAAAGATAAATTGATTTTATTTAATTTACAATCAATGAAAAATCATTGAAAGCAATCACTGAATGAATGAAAAAATCACAAAAACTATTATGCATACAATTGTCTCTTATTTATCTCCTGATAAATCAGACAAAATTGCCTACATAATAGAAGCACTTTGAAAGAGTTAACAGTTCTTAAGGGTTTTATGCACTCCACAAAAAAAATGTCAAATGAAATCTTATTATTCATAGTTTGAAAAGGAAGTAACGATAAAAGTGATTTACCTATTTCTAGAGGGCATTAAATCTAAAATATTAATCTATTTCTTATTTGTTATGATTAAAAAACATTAAATATGGTAAGCTTAAAGAGCGTGCAAAATCGCTGACGTTTTAATCATAGCAAAAGTCAGTACTAAAAAATAGCATTAAAATTATGAGACAGATTGAGAAAGAGATGGCCTCTATTGATTTCAAGTATATTGGCATGAGACGAAACCTGCGGTTTTTGCCAAAATTTAGCCAAACTGATAAGAAGGGGAAAATAATGCGTAGCCAGCGGCTACTCTGAGCAGCGACAATGGACCACCCGAGATCTACAGATAGGCGATTCTCTAAAATGGGGAGGGCAATGGATGGTACGACAGTTGTACCAATGCCGGCGTCTGAGAAAGTCATTCTCCTGGTACAACTGCTGTACCAGCCGGCTTCGAGAGGTTAAATAAAGAGGTGTCAGTTTTTCAGAATCCCTTGGAAACAATTGGCGCAACTATGGTAGAATCTCCACAGACTTTAACGATTCAATGGTAGCCAACTTTTATGGGGGGGAATAATAGGTAAGTACTTGTATTTCTTTTATAAATCACTCTTTAAAGTTTTACCCTAGTTTTCTGTAATTAACAATGATTTCAGTAAATGTGAGTATTACAAATTACAATGATTTTAGCAATATATGAGTAATACTCAAAATATGCCCAACAGTTAAACAGAAAAATCATACCAAAACATTTTAGTTAAAAAAGTAAAAAATGCAAATTATTTTCAAAAACTACTGAAATCCCAATGTTCACCACGAAGTAAGTTACCACGAAGTAAGTCACCACGAAGGTTATAATAAAAAATCTGATGTGTACACCACATGGCTTCCTTGTATGGAATATTAAATTTTACGCATTTGTTTCTTGCATTTCTTTTAAACTTATTGGATGAATAAATCTTCACGACAGCGCATAGCCACAATCTCCACAGACTTTAACGATTCAATGGTAGCAACTTTTATGGGGGGGGAATAATAGGTAAGTACTTGGTTTCTTTATAAATCACTCTTAAATTTACCCTAGTTTTTGTAATTAACAATGATTTCAGTAAATGTGAGTATTACAAATTACAATGATTTTAGCAAAATGAGTAATACTCAAAATATGCCCTAAAAAAAAAATCATACCAAAACATTTAGTTAAAGTAAAAATGCCAAATTATTTTCAAAAAATACTGAAATCCCAATGTTCACCACGAAGTAAGTATCACACGAAGGTTATAATAAAAAAATCTGATGTACACCACATGTATACATTTGTTCTTGCATTTTTTAAACTTATTGGATTGAATTAAATCTACTTCACCGACAGCGCATAAGCCACAATAGAATAAAGGCATCTTTAAAATTCACTCTATTGTTTCAAATAGCGAACTCTGGCATGCGGTTCACTTAACAGATATATTTCATTCATATTATAACTCAGAATGTGCAAAATGTATATTTAAAAGAATATCTAATCGTTGCCACATGTTCTTTTCAAATACTATATAAAGCTAGAACGATGTAAAAAGGAAATTAAGCAAACAAAACCAAAAAAAAAAACAGTTTTTCACAGATCATTGAGATTTTATTCAATTAATTCAGTTTCACTTTGCGACAAGACAAAAATACATAAAAGCTCAAAATATCTGTTATTACTAATATTAAAATTAACTAATTATTAAAATTAAGTAAATCAAAACACTTATTTCCTCGAAAAATTCCAGAAAGGATTAAGCATGATTTAATTCGCAATAATAAATGAAGGCGTTATTTTTGTTTTGTTGCGAAGCTTAGTCTCTTAGATTGGCAACAAATCTACAATTTCTGCTGTTTCAAATGTAAACAAATATGTGCCGCCATGTTATTTAAAACTTAACCGCACTTAAACAGCTTTTAGATTGTTGATAATGTACAAATATTGCTTCAGAATTACGAAAGCATAAAACTTTAACCGGAAGAAGATAAGTACAACATAATTCCAATCATTTTTAAAGCAAAAAATGTACAATTTACAAACATATAAGAGTAAAGAAACTGAGATGACTGTGCCGAGTAACAGAGTGGATATATATATAAATATATTTTACATAGTTGGTGCCGCCGATTGCAACAAAATACGAGGTGCACATCTACATGTTATAGCCAGTCCCATATACAAAATTTCAACGTTCTGAGACTGGTACATCGTTTTGAGTTATGCGAGATACGCACGTTCGTACAGACGCCACAAAAAATTCTGTTCAGAATTAATTTTAAAGCAGTTTTAATAATTTTTTTGGAGGAAACGAGTCTTTTATTCTGTCCTTATGTACAGATATCACACAAAAACATTGTTAAATTGCATTCGATAGTGGTCAAAATGGATATTTTCGTTGAAATATGCTGCCTGAAATTTTTCGCGATTACAATACTTCCTTTTTACTTCGTACAAGGAAGTAAAAAAAAAAAAAAAACTGATAAATAAGCAAATAAATAGGAATGAAAAAATTAATACAAAAATTTTATCAAGAAAAGTATCTATAACAGAATTAATATACATGCATATTTAGTTTTGACATTTAGGCATCCCAGGCAATATAATCATTAGAAGAGGCTACCTGCCACACTGCTGGGCTTAGTTTCAATCCTCAAATGAAACATGGACATTTGTGACACTTAAAAATCTTTCAAAAAGAAGTTGTGCTACAAGAAAAGAGATACAAGACTTCTAGACCTTATCGTCAAGGGTGTTCTTGATCAAAACTGAGAGGAAGCTTAGGCACAGAGCTCTAGTATGCGTCGTGTTGTAACCCCCACGGTATAGTAGAATGAAGTGCTTCCAATTTCAGGCATCTGCGTATGCCCAGAAACTTTGATGACTCTAACTTCTTTTTGATTTATTACTATGTTGTTTTTCCGTTAAGTGTCTCCTGTATTGAGTCTGAGTGCGTGTTAAAATAATTAATAAATGGTGTACGTAAACTTTTAGTAGCTTTTTTGATTTAAGAAGACAGCCTTCCAAGTGTCAACACCTATTTACGAGCAAAGAGACAAGGTAAGAAGATTATTAAATTTGTTTCAACTGTTTAATTAGAATTTAGATTGCTCATGAAACATTTGCCTTCATTGAATAACATAATAAAGTTCTCAGATTTGACATTAAACATACTACTGTATAAAATTTTATATAAATGAAATAGTCCTATGACAACAATATTAAAACTTCAAATGCCACAATTTTATTACTTTATCTGTAAACCTGATACCCAACAGCTTAACAGCAAAAAATTTCAAAATCAAAGATTTCTAAAAGTAAATTTGTTAAAACTTACCTTTAACAGCATAATCAGTATCAACATTTGCAGCCTTTAACATAACTATATCATTGAGCCTGAATATTAATTTTTCTGATACACCTTCTTCAAATGGAAAGGATGCTAATAAGTTACAAACAACAGGCCCCACACCTTTGGCCGGTGGGCTTTTTAAATTCACTTTATGTGTCATTTCCAGAACTAGGTCAAACTGCAATAAATAATAATAGGCAAATATACAATCCATTTACCAATTAGTTATTTAATTCAATAATAAAATCCTCGGGGAGGGAATTAACATTTTGAACAAAAATCAGATGCAAATTCAACTTTGATAGCTATCATAATAGCGATTCAATAGCTATTACAAAAATATAATTTATGCCTTATCTCCATGATAGTTTAAATGTATCATATAATATGTACTCTTCATTTCAAAAATAGTTTTAAAAAACCTATTGAATTTCAGAATGGAACTCATTTCCTCAATTAATATATGAATATCTCAAAAGCTAATTTTATTAAATATAAAATTAATCTCTGCTAAGGACAGCAGTACACTAATACCTGTCTTCCTTTTGCTTAAAATAATAAGCCATTTCAATTTCCAACATAAAAACAAAAGTGCCTTTAATTACATAGTACTACAAATAATGGAATAATATATATATAGATACCTAAGAAATAACACTATTTCAAATTAAACGTTAAAGTAGGAAACAATAACTTTCCTGCCACTATTCATAAAGGTAATCAAGTGAATGTAATTTGTGGGTATACTTTTAAGTTGTACTGATAATTTTGAGATTATTGAAACTAGAACTTCAAGAAAATTGTCTTTATCTGAAGATCTTCTGACAAACTAATTTAATTGCCACATAAAGTTGTTGATGTTACTAATCTCGCTTGTCTGAATTAGAGCAAGCCCACAAAATTCATCATGGCAAGAAATCAAGATTGCACCTGTCACTGGCAAGAGCCTTGGGCACTATACAGGTGACAGTCTCATGTAAAGCTGGAAGAATAAGTAGAAATGTGATATTTTATGTGGTAAATTCTAATTTGAATTATTTATTATTGTCTTCAACTGTTATTCTCTTGTTTAAATTGCAAGTGAACTTAACTGAGATGTGTATCAACTTAAAAGAAATATCAGTAAGGATGTATGTCTAAATAATTCGATACACAGTCTCGCACCGCACGCTGGAAAATGTCCCCCCCCCATACAGTGTTGCCACTGCTCGCTTTTTAATCAAAAATTCATTGAATTGTTACAAAATCTGAAATCAATAATAAAACAAATTTCAAATTCAAATTAGAGCTTCCACATGCATATATTTTATGAAAGATTACGTTATTCAAATTTTGATGGTTCTAGGTACCTTTTTTTATCACAACGCAAGAAACATACATTTATGCAGATTTTTCATTATTTAATTTCTTTAAATATAAGAAAGAATAATAACATATGGTGGCAGCCAATTTGAAAAGTGATACTGCCTTTTAAAGTTTTCAATGCAAAATGCCAAAACAAAATTAATAGTCCTTCAGGGCAAATTGGACTAAAAATTTAGATATGTAGTTACTCTCATTTTTAAGTTCATTTATAAAACACACCATAAAAGTTGAAACATGTTACAAGAATCAAATTTTATTTAAAGCAAAAATTTCAACATTTAAATATAAAATTTACCAAATATTCTACTAGATTATTTAAATAGGAAGAGAATTTCAAAAATGGTATGGGGATAGGAAAAGAGAAAAAAAAAAAAAAGTTTAATACTATATAAATATGTCATTTTCATCTGGAAGTACATGGAAATAAAATTTCTTTCACTTACCTGGTGAGAAAAGGTACGTAAAATACCTTCATAAACTGATCCATTTTTAACCTGTATCTGGACAACACATCCCTAAAAAAAATAATAAGTATCTGCACAACACATCCCTAAAAAATAATCAGCAAGCAGAAATTTTACATGCAGGAGAAAAATGGATAACATCTAGACACAGTACATACCACTAAGGAAGCTGTTGTATGCATTAATCGTGAATTTCCATACACACCATCAAACTAAAAGGAAAATATAACAAACTGTAGTGAAAAATTATATTATGCACAACTATATACTCTCTCACTCTCTTTCTCTCTATATAAAGGATTTCATTCAAATATACAAAAGAGACAAATGTTAGCAATTAATTACTTCCTTTATTCAAAAACATTTCTGTCAAACATTACCGTTCAAACATTTATTGTTAGATACTTGCTTTATTCAGAAATATTACCCTCAAACATTACTGCTAAAAAATTACAGTTCAAAACATTACCGTTACTTTATAAAACAATCGATTATTCTTCAAGACGTAATTTTCATTTACGTATTTCTTTGCATTCGTTTTATCATTTATATTTTTCTTTTAAAATGTATATTAATTTGCGTAATTCTGGATCTGAATGCTGAATCTTAAGATTTTGTTCCTCTCTTGTTAGCTTTAAAAAAACTTCCAAGTTATTTTCAATTATAGAGTCTAAAGTTTCTTCTGGCTGATCAACTGGCGATCGGCTCAATGCATCTATGACTAATTTTTTTTACCTTGTGTGTGCTTTATTTCAAGATTATATTCCTGGATCAGATTACTCCACCTTGCTATCTGAGGATTTGAAGTTTCCTTCGTATTTAAATAAACTAAAGCTTGGCAGTCTGTAACTACAGATTGCCAAGCAGAAAGGCAATCTGTAATCGGCTGCCAAGCATCCGATTAAAAATTGTCGAAGTCGTGTCAAAGTCCAAACTATAGCCATTAATTCTAATTTTCTTGAATCATAATTCTTTTCTGTTTCTGTTGTTCCTTTACCTACACAATAAACTAAATGTCAAATTTTATCTTCACCTTTTTGCAACAGCATTCCTGCCAGCCCTTTGCTGCTCACGTCTGTGTGTACTTCAGTCTCTACTTCCAGTTTATATAAAGCTAGTACTGGTTCATTAGTTAAATGATCTTTTAAAGTAACTGAATGCTTCTTGATGATCTTCGTTCTAACGAAATGTTTTATCCTTCCTTGTCAGTCTCGCTAATGGCTGAGCTTTCTCTGCATATTTCTGTACAAACCTTCTAAAGAAACTTGTAAGACCAAAAAATTGTTTAACTTCATGTTCATTAGTTGGTTTAGGAAAGTTTAATATGGCTTGTACTTACTTGGGTTGCATACCATTCGATTTTATTAGAAATCCCAAATACTCAACTTCATTTTTTCCAAATTCGCATTTTCTCAGTTTCAATGTCAGCATTGCTTTTATCCCTTCCTGAATATTTTCATATTCATCTAGTTTTTCAGCCAACTCTTCAGGATTAATGAATTTACACCAATCATCAATGAAAAGGTCTCGAAGAGCAGCGGGGACCTTTTTTTTAATCGATTCGTAATACAGTCAAAAGTCGTTAATTCGGACCTCAAAGCTAAAAACTTTCTGCGCATGCGCCGCGTTGGCACATGCGCACAGGCGTTTTACGTGTGCGCGTAAGACCTTGACTACTGCGCATATACGTGTGCGCAAGTGCAGAATACATTTTCGCCTGCGCGTTTAATGTGTATAACGGGCGCTGTAAGCTAAAATTATCTAATTATCTATTTCAGTTAATGTTAATGATTGCATTGTTCCTTAATCTTCAAATTGGATCCCGCTTATTATTTTTTGCACACTGTAAGAGCAATTTTATAAAAGTAAACTTGAACTTTCGATTATGTCAAATAGAATTTCCAATGCTGGAACTTCCAAAGGATCTACAAAACGAAAGTATGGTGCCATGTCCAACAAACAAAAAGGGGAATTGCTGCAAAAAGAGGATAAAGACACGAAGAAGGTGACAGAGAGGTTAGTGAATACGAAAAAATTTCAATTGACAAGTTAGTCAGTATTCTCGGTACAGCAATTACAGGACTTGAACAGTGGAACTTTGTAACCGAACAAGAAATTATGTCTGTTTATAGAATTAAAGAGAAAGTATTAGCACAAAGCAACTTAAACAACTTTTATTGAAAGAAATGTTTAATAAAGTAAACAAATAAATATTAAGCTTTTTTTTAAAAATTTTGATACCCTTTAGATCATAATTGTTCTTTATTTCATAAATTACGGTTTCATATTTTTAATTTTAGAATTTCTGCATGCCATCTTACGAGATTTAAACTGATGATCTATAATCCGGAAAAATCGATAATCTGGAATCGCCGAAGTCCCGACGAGTCCGGATTAACGACTTTTGACTGTAAAAGTTGTTTTAAAGAGTCAAAATCTGTTACATTTAATCCAGAAAGCCACTCTTCAAAATAAATTTTTAATTCAAACGTGAAGTCCTTCCACGTATTACGCAACGTCTTAATATGATCAATGAACTTTTGCCGAAGCTGTTCAGGGCTTAAATTTTCTCAGTAGCAGTTGTTTAACATGCTTATAGTTGTTAGCTTTTTCTTCTGATTCACAGGCAATTAATTGAGTTATTTCATAAAACAACAGACCCAACAGCTGAGAAACCCAGTTTTGTTTTTCTAACCCAATATGTTGTGCCTGTCTCTCAAATAAAACTAAATAAAAACTTATATCACCTTCATTCAAATTATACTTATGTATTAATTTACTCATATCACAAATATTCCTTCTACTAACATTAGAAGGAGCGGAATAATTTACATTATTACTTCTGGTTTCCGCTTCTATTTTCAATTTTTCAAGTTCAAAAGTTCTTTGCTTATCTCTTTCTATAATTTCCATTTCAAATGCTCTTTGCTTATCTTTTTCTAAAGCTTCCATTTCAAGGGTCCTTTGCTCTTCTTTTTCTAAAATTTCTAACTTTTCCCTGTCTAAACAATCATTTATAATTCTATCTAGCATTTGTTTAGTATTATAAATGATCATTATAGTTCTTACTATTCAAAATCATATCCCTTAAGCCTACAATTTTAATATCAGAAGGGACATCTACATCAAGTTCCAAAGCAAGTTCTAAAATTTAAGTCACATTTCTTGCCCATTACCAAATAAGCCATCTTAGACTTCAATTTTCAAATGAATAATACAATAGATTATACTTAAGTTCTTTCCGTTTAATACTTAGACATAACATAAACAGTTTATAAATTCACGTACCTTTCTACCTTCAGTTTTTGCAAGCTTCTGCATTCAGTTTAGGCTTAACGTACATTAAGGCAATACATTGTTAAATCCTAGGTAATAATTCTAGTTAATCCCACTTCTGAAATGTTAGCAATTAATTACTTCCTTTATTCAGAAACGTTTCCGTCAAACATTAATTGTTAGATACTTGCTTTATTCAGAAACATTAGCTTCAAACATTGCAGTTCAAAACATTACCATTCTAAAAAAACTGTTGTTGTCAATCGGGAAAATACATTTTAAATAAAATTAACGCATTGCGTTTACACAAACATGATCATTTTACACAATTATTGGTGATTTAATGGAGAGAGACCAATTCCCCTAAAAAAATCAGCCTTTTTTTCTTTTCAACAGATTGTGCTGGAGTCCACTGGAGTCTGGTTCCTGTCTTAGTTTTGGAGATAAATTCTAATTCTAGCCGGAGCCCTAAATAAGAAGAAGGTTCCGGCACTTCTTTTAAGTAACTGAACAACAATTTCAATAGAAATTTGATCTCGAAAATTTTATTTTTAGTAATAAAATTATATTAAAAATCGCTTATTAAAGTTTGTCTCTTTGCATTTTATTTAATTTTACTCATTTAATTATTTTAATCTTTAATTATTCAACTGTTTTAATATATAATAAATTAATTATGAATTAAATAATTTCAATTAATTAATAATTAACAAATATTAATTATTAATATCAATTAAGTAATTATTAATTAACTTGATACTCATTAACCATTTCCATTCAAACCATAACCAATCCATTCATTCAAATCATAATTTTAAAAGTATTAATGATTTTAATAGTCATTTTATTTATTTACTCTTGTTCCTCTTTTGTGGCAGTCTTCTATAGGGCTCCAGCACTTCTATTTTTAGAAATTAAGCTCTGCTTTTCAACAATAATTAATATTTTAAAATTGATATTCTGATTCTAATTCAGAATTTTTATGTTTAATTCAAACAGATTTTATTAATAAATAATAATAATGAATAAACAATTTTTACACTCTATACAATAACTACAGTAATTTTAGTTATTTATTCTGGCATTTCTTTCTTGACTTGTTTCTAACAAAATGAGCCTTTTCCAAATTTGTAAGTCTATTTGGCAGCTCTTGAGTAGTGAAGATATCTTTTATTCCTTTTTCAAAGCAGAAAATTAGACAGAAATCAATTAATTCCTTTTGTTTGGTCAGTTTAAAAACACATTTTACCAGAAGACTTTTCCACACAATAGCTTTCAGATCAACCACACTACACTTTTTTTCATGCCTTCCAAAAATAGCATCCAACATGTTTCCACCTATGCGCTCTCTCTTTTCCCCTCCATTCTAAATCCATGTTCGAATTTCATTCTGAGATGAAAATAGTAATGGACATATTGTCCAAATTTCACAGATAGGTAATTAAATTAACACGTCAGTTAATTAAATTCATTTCTGCCCTTTAATGTATATTAAGTAAATTTTCTATATTTCTCAATGTTTTATTTTAGTCTTATGAGAACATATTTTTCTAAATTAGTAGTTCTTCACAGTTTATTTTAATAAATTTTGCATTTTAATGTGATGAAAGGTGAAAGTGTCGGGGAACACTTTTCAAGTAAGAAAATAAAACTCATTCCTATAATAATTCTATATTTCGATTAGAAGATTGCATTCCAAGGAAGACAGAACAGCCAATTTCTTACTGCTTCTTAATTAGTAATTTGGATAATTACTAAACAGCTATTTTAATCTTGAATCTTACTTAAGAAAAAGATAAAACATTGTTGCAGCTATTAATTGTTAATTGATTGGAAATTAGGTTGTTCCCCTTGATTGTCAAGTAATTTCCAATCAATGGCGATAATTACTTAGTTTGTTGGTTGCACTTTTGCCTTTAATTATTCCATTTTTAATAGTTCAATTTTAAATATGCTTATGTGTAAATTCATTTCAATAAAATTCTAACTACTTTATTTTCAAAGGAGATAATACATTCAATAATCTACTGGAAAATAAATTATTATTTTATTAGTCTGCAGCTTTAGCTAAAGTATTAGGCTATTTGTTACTAATAATTACTTTACACATATAATTGTATACATATATAATGCATTATCTAATTTATCAACATTAGTCCAATTGGTTTTGAACTGATATTTTAATCTTAAAACGTACAAAAAACAATTATAAATCTAGAAGAAAAATGAATAACACACACATTTGATTATTCATTTTATGTATTACATATGTTAATGATAATGTAGTAAACTCCCAATAAAGCATCGCAAATTAGACAAATTTTATTTAAAAAAAGTTTATTGCAAAATGATATAAAAATTATTATCACAAACCATCAGAATCTACAGGAAATACAAAAAGAAGAAAAAGCATGAGATAACATGTATTCATTGAACTTTTAACCAGAGTGAAGAAATTAATTTTTTTAATTTAAAAATAAATTTTGAAAAAAAAAAAAAAAAAAAATTCCTAAGTATTTAAAAACTGGTTACTAAATAATATACGAGGGCATCCAGGAAAGTAGATTACGTTTCCGTCTGTGTCCGCTAGGGGCGGGGCTAGCGCGGCCATCTTGGGGTCAGAGCGTTGCGCAGCTCAGTCTGCATCTAGCCGTGCTAGTGAGAGGTTCGTGCTGTGCTCCGTTCAGATACTGTGACGGTTTGAAATGTCTGCGTTAATTGAAAATCCCGCGAGGTGCGCTCAGTAATAAGGTTTCTGACTGCAAAAAACTGTAAACCGATAGAAATCTATCGGCAGCTTCGTGAAGTGTATGGGGACAACATTATCACTGAAGGTGGAGTGCGTCAGTGGGTCATAAGATTTCAAAATGGCCGAACCAATGTTCACGACGAAGATCGAAGTGGGAGACCCAGCATAGTGACCGCCGAACTTCTCGAAAAAGTCGATGCTAAAGTCCGTGAAAATCGAAATTTCACAATAACGGAACTTTCTTTGAGTTTTCCACAAATTTCGCGAAGTTTGTTGCACGAAATCATCAGCGAAAAGCTTGGTTACCACAAGTTTTGTGCAAGATGGATTCCAAAAATCTTGACAGAGGACCACAAAAATCAGCGAATGGCTGCAGCGTTGAACTTTTTGGACGCTTACCATAAGGATGGTGACTCTTTACTCGATCGCATCGTTACTGGTGACGAAACATGGGTGAAACATGTGAACTGTGAAACGAAATTGCAATCAATGCAGTGGGGGCACACAAGTTCTCCCCAAAAACCCAAGAAATGCATGCAAACAATGTCGGCAAGGAAGATGATGGCGACTGTTTTTTGGGACAGAAAAGGTGTGTAATTTTGGTGGACTTCCTGGAAAGAGGCACTACAATAAACTCTCAAAGGTATTGCCAAACTCTCCAAAAACTCAGAAGAGCAATTCAAAACAAGCGCAGAGGAATGTTGAGCTCTAAGATCTTGTTGATTCACGACAACGCCCGGCCCCACACGGCAAATGTCACTCGTAAAGTTCTTGAATCTTTTAAGTGGGAGTTGTTTCCTCATCCGCCGTACAGTCCCGACCTGGCACCGAGCGACTTCCACCTATTCCCAGCAATGAAGAAGTGGCTGGCTATGCAGCGTTTTGATGACGACGCACAGCTGCAAGAAGAGGTAACGAAGTGGTTGAAGGCGCAGGCGGCCGAATTTTTCGACGAAGGAATTTCCAAGCTCGTACATCGCTACGATAAATGCCTTAATTTGTATGGTGACTATGTAGAAAAGTAGTATTTGAGTGTGGCTTTCATCTGTATATAATAAAATTTGTTTCCTATACTTTGTTTATTTTTTTATTCCAAAACGTAATCTACTTTCTGGATAGCCCTGTTTTGGGAAAATATGGTCAATGCCAGAGTCGGTTACTTTATCAGTTCCGGCTAGTTTAACAAGGAGGGACTTTTTCTCCTGATCGCAGGCCCATAGTCAAATGAAAATTTTTTTTCATTTTTTTTTTTTTTTTCAAGTAGTATTTCAAAAAGAACTACAAATCTTCCCAGACAATGGATCATGGCTCTTGAGAAGCATGAGCACTACATGGAAGAACAGTAATAAAAATCTGCTTGAAATAAAATAACCCTGAGAGGAAAAAAATTACGCATTATTTTTAAATGACCTTCGTATTTGTCTATTATGCTGACCCAATGACCATTAGCCGCTCCAAAAATAAAATGGAAATCAGAATAATTCACAGAAACAGAAATGTTTACCAATTTTGTCACATGGGTATTTATTTGTTACTGTGATGTAGTATTTTATTTGTTACTGAGATGACAGCATAAGAGCACAATAATGGGCTATCTGAAATCAATTAAATTATTACACATAGTGTAATGTAAAAAATTAAATTACTAAGATTAAATAAAAAAAAAAAAAAGCATGTTGTCGCATGATATCTGCTTTAAAATGCAATTCTAGTTCGAAATAAAAGTGCTTGTTGAAAGCAAAAGGGGCCAAAGAGACAGAAAGCAAGTTGCATTTAAGAGGCAGTTAATGGGTCAGACAGCCACAACTTGGGCATGCCTGTGTTATAAGATATTTGCTCCTATGCTTATTCCTTCCTGTTTATAAATGCTCAAAATCCATCTCACCCTATTCATAAAAGCTGTTCTAGCTATCAGGACTGCTAATTTTATAACCCAACAAATGTAAAAGCGCTCAATACATCAACACAGTTTATCCAGTACTTGAAATCATAAAATTGAAAGTATCAAAAACATCCACAAAGATGTTATATGGCATAAACTAATATTTTTATGCTATGAAAATATGTTATAATTGCTCTATAGCAGGGGTTCTTAACCCCATGCCCATGAAGCTATTTTTGTGCGCCCACAATTGTCTGCTATATACTATATTAGTATCAAACGTGGCCAACCCGCGGCCGAAAATCCCATTAAATGCGATTATTTTGAATTTTTTGTTACCTTTTTAATGTAGGGTACTGTTTATGATGCTTATGATTGAAATAAAATAAAGAAATATTAAGAATCGTTATCCTTTTTTTTAACTGCTCCTGCCAGTATTTCCTGTTTGTCAGATGTGCCCAGACGGGTAATAAGGTTAAGAACCCCTGCTTTATAGTGTAATATCATTCATGGCAATATATTTATATATGTATACGATTTCAGATATTAAAAAACAAATACATTAAAATGCAATATGATGGCCTGTGGCAATATGATAACTCAAAATAAATAAATAAAAAATACTCACAGCCATGATTTTTTCATTATATCCCTTAGAACGCCCAAGTTTGCTACAAAAAGAAAGTACATATGATTGCTCTTACAATGATAAATTCAGAAGTTTAATAAAAAAAACAAAAGAGTTTATTCTCAAGGCATCTTTGTTTTAAATAAAAATAATTTTAAAAAATCTAACAGGCATATTTTCTTTTCACAAAAACTGGGGAACATAAAAGTTTTATATACATATATGTAAAAAAAATATTTCCTGAAATTACATATATTTTACAAGAAATAAATAACAAGAAAAAAATTAGAATGAAATAGCTTCCTTAACAAATGTACTTTTACATAAAATATTTAATGTGACCATAACATTTTATATTTATTCCTTGTGTAACCACGAACAGCACAAATGTCCCCTCTAACTGTGTGAAAAAACTACAATATCATGGATGCTGTAGAAGAAAACAAACTTTCAAAGGATATTCTAAAGAAAAGTTTAGCCACTTTAATGGAAATTACAGATCAGTTTATACAAAATTATTTAAATTTTAATAAAAGTTTTAAGGCAAAACAAAGCATCATTGAGCAAATAGAACTACCAGCTCAGTGACACAGGAAAAGGCAAATGATAACGCTGTATGACTTCATTAAAAAAAAAGTCAAATGATGAAGAACTTTCTTCATCACAAACATAACTCCTAAATCAACTTTTTATCTTCAAGAACATTTTATGAATGAAAATCAATACTAGCAATAAAAAGTCTATAATTAATTTAGTAAAAGACTATGCAATAACAAAAGTTTGAAAATAAAACAAACAAAAAAATTCTAATTCTCTTTTCTGTTTCACTTATCACCTAATTTAGGAGCTAAGATGACCTTCTTAATGCTGTTTCATTTAACACTGGAACCTATTGGAATGTATCCCCACTTGTTAGACAGGGTCTTCCTGTGTACAAAAAATTAAAAAGACAAACTAAAAAAACTACAACAGGAGGAGATAAACATGATTAATTGATTTAATCTTCTCACAGATGGATTATCTGTAAAAGTTCCACTTCAATCTAAGTGTAATTAGACATGTAAATCAGGATTATTTTATTATTCTTATTTACAATTTTAACAATACACATGTCATTTAATCTCCAAAGCAGAATTCATGTTAGAAATTATCAAACAGATTTTAATCACTGAAATATTTATTAATTACAAAACATATACATAATTTAATTATGTCATTACAAAGAAACAAACCTTTAAAGAAACAGCTTTGATTTTATAACTAAACATTTAAAAAAATCAGGATTTTAAATAAATGGTTTAAATTTTAAAATTATTTTGTTAGACATATTTTCTAATCACAATCGTAAAAGACGTTTTTAACAGCAAGCTGCTTAAAGCTACTTTAATAATATGTGATAAAAGACTCAGAAAGAAAATTGGGTTTCTTTTTGATTACCCACACCTTCTCTGAAAAGTCCAGAAAAAGTGTTCATAAGGAAGAGCACTAATGTTCCCAAAATTATTATATGGTAACCCCATTGTTGCCAAAAGGTATTTATGTAGCAACACAAGGATGACTGTAGCACTGTCTGTTTTGGCTGATGTGCAGTGAATTCAAGTTGTACACTGCACACAAAAAAAGTGGGAGACAGTTCTATATCTCCCGTTCGAGTGGGTCGATTGACGAAACTCAACTCACGTTTCTCTCGTCTCGAAAGCACGACTTAGGATATGTATTATATTTATATACAGCATTGTTCTAATACATGTATTTTGACACAAAAATCGAACCTTTTTCTAAAATGACATGCCAGCTTTTTTCCATATTTCGATTCTACGACTCAAATTATAACAAACTGCCAATGTCAGTAAAAATCACATTAGTACTTTTTTAAAACATTAGCTCTCAAATTTTTAGCTCCTCAATGTTAATTGAATAAACTTTTGCCTCATCTTAAATCAGATGTATTTCTAAGCATACCTAAGAAAAAATTATAATTTTTTATTAAAAATTTCTGAAGATACACTTGAATTTACCTTTTGATGCATTTTGAAATTTAGCATATTTATTATAAGCGATAATAACGAAAATATGGTTTACATACTTTGCTAAAATTATTTGAAAGTATGAACGATGAATTTTTTCCTGCTCATGGACAACGAAGAAAAAGGAAAGGAAAATACATTGCTATAAATTAAGAAGTTCGACACATAAATTATTCCTGGCGCAAACTGAAAAAAATCTCAGCAAGATAAATTTTTTAATTTCTCTGTAAATTTCACATGAAAAATTACAAAATTTAATATCTACGCATAATTTGAATTGTAGAATCGAAATATGGAAAAAAATTGGTATGTATTTCAGAAAAAGTCCGATTTTGTGTCAAAATACCTATGTTAGAACAAAGCTACATAAAAATCTAATACAGTCAAAAGTCGTTAATCCGGACTCGTCGGGACTTTGGCGATTCCGGATTATAGATCATCAGTTTAAATCTGGTAAAATGGCATGCAGAAATTATAAAATTAAAAATATGAAACCGTAATTTATGAAATAAAGAACAATTATGATCTAAAGGGTATCAAAATTTAAAAAAAAAAAAAGCTTAATATTTATTTGTTTACTTTATTAAACATTTCTTTCAATAAAAAGTTGTTTAAGTTGCTTCATTTTTTATGTGCTAATACATTCTCTTTAATTCTATAAACAGACATAATTTTCTGTTCAGTTACAAAGTTCCGCTGTTCAAGTCTCGTTTATTGCTGTGCCGAGAATACTGACTAACTTGTCAATCGAAATTTTTTCGTTTTCACTAACCTCTCTGTCACATTCTTCATGCCGTTATCCATTATTTGCAGCATCCATTCGGCACTCGAACAAGAGGGAGACCTAAACTTAGGTGGCTCGACTGTTTGGAAACAGACTTAAGAATTTTAAAAATAACCAACTGGATGTCCATGGCCAGAAGAGCTTGGAATTCAATTCTGAGGAAGGCAAGGGTCCATCCTGAGCTGTCTGGCCATTGAAGAAGAAGAATGACACTGGTCAGATTCCATTGTAGGAAATATTAACCCTGAGCCTGTCGAGTAATTTTCTGCGAATCCCTTTAAAACTGTCGCTAGTTTTGGACCGAACTTCCCGTAAAATGTCGCGAAAATAACCCTAAACCTCTGAAAATTGTCAAGCAGTTCTTTTGTTATTTCCCATCCCTCCCAGAATTTTAGATCAATTGTTCCGCCTAAAAGAGATTGATTGCACTGTAAACATTAGTAGATGCGAACTGTCAAGAACTTTGCGAATGAATAGCTTCTCTCTGACGGACCCTGGGAGTGCTCTAGGGTAATTGTCCACCAAATACTTCATCAACATTTCATGAGTAAACGGTATCAGAACTAAAAGGATATTCTTTCATACAAACATCTCATTTTCGAAATAATTGCTTTTAAAATTTGCCTGTTTTCATTTTTAATTTTTATGCATTTTATAACCAAGTTACCCAGATTTCGAAGTCACTGATTTCATTGCAGATCGATTAAATTGCATTATAATTTATTAATAAAATCTGTATTAACTGGTACATGTTTCATTCCTTCTGTGACACTGTTACAACATTTAAATAGCATTATTTATTAGTTCTCTTGAATGTTACATTATTTTCCGATTTTTTAGCATAAATTAAAAATCTTTAAAACATTAATCTTTTTCTATATTTTTTATTTGCATGCAAATAATAATTATCTTTTAACAGTTCTATAATTCCTTATAGATATATTCCTTTTTATATTTTTAAGATGTTTAGCATAATATTCGAATAATTATTATAAAAAAATGGTGTTTTATGATTTCTGCCAAATTTAATCAGCGGAATATGATGTGACTTTTAAAACTGCTTTTTAAAGAAACTCATAGTGAAAAATTAAGTATTTCAACTTTTGAAACTTTAGGCTTCTCTTATGCTCAAATTCACATCTTTTTCCGAAGGAATGGTGTTTTCTGGAAAATTATTTTTAATCTGCAATATATAGTTGAAAAATATGTAGACAAGAATTTTTAAACAAATTTAAATATTCACTAACTTTGTGACTAAATGTCTAAAATTCAGTGTAGTGTAAAGGAAAGCATTTTTAAAATTATACGTGGATTGCTGATTTGAAAGAGGATAGGTATTAAATATGACTTATTTAACGAAAACAAAGATTTGGATTATTTAAGGACAGTTGTTTGAATCTCAATGCAAACTATATCAGCTCCAAAATAATACACTCTTCTTTTTTAAGGATTGCATTTTTAATGGTATTCTTGCAGAACTTAGAAATTCATGCAGCTTAGAAATTTATTATTAATTGACTGAGTTTATAAATTCTTACTTTTCTGCCACTGAAACACTAAACTTGATGTGAAATAGGATTAAAACATTACTTTTATAACAAGTATTTTCTCACTCCTTTCTTTAGGCCTTCGTGGTGTAATCGTTAGCACATTGGGCGTGTATTCGAGAGGTCCAGGTTCGAGTCCTGGCTAGGGCATTGCACATTTTTCATGTTTCTTATTTCAAAAATAACCTAATGACTCTTCAGTGGCACTCGAACTAAAAAAGGTGATGCATGATGATTCTTCACCATCCTGATATGGCGATTGGGTGGTACCCTAATCCCCCAGTCGCTCTTTAAAAGGGAGAGTACATAAGGTATTTTTCCCCTCCTTTCTTTATGCCTTCGTGCTGTAATGGTTAGCACACTCGGCGCGTATTTGAGAGGCCCAGGTTCAAGTCCTGGCTAGGGCATTGCACATTTTTCATACTCTACAAACTGAAAGCTGCAAAGGAATTATGTAACATAATTAATATCACTATGCAATGTTTTATTACACTTTATCTAAGTTATTATGCATGAACTAAACAATGTTGTTGTTTATTAACTCACATAAGTAATATAATCGTTCAATATGGTATTTTTGTATAGAAAAGTAAAGTATTATTGTAAAGAAAGTGTATTGTCGAATGTTTTGTAATAAATAAAGATTGCATTTAATAATTATGATAATGTGTTTAATAAAGGATAT